GCAGCCAAGGCCGAATTGTCTGAGAAACTTGTTCTGTTGTACAATGCCGTGGGGGGGGGGAGCCTTTGTCTAAAAAAGAAACGGTGAGGCGATGCAAATTTTTCGGGGCCACAGCCGAGTAACGCGCGATTGTAAATGATAAAATAACAGTTGTAAGCGATCGAAGTCCAATCGGTGGCTATACAATATCATCAAGATTTCATTTTCTGCGTGTTAAGCTGGGGTTTACACTGTCGACTTTCTGTTGAAAAGTCGACGAGTTGATCAGTTAGTGGCGCTCATAGGGTCTATGTCCCCCAGGGTACTGCCGGAACGTACCCTGGTCACTATTTGATATGGTTAGGGCAGGGGTGGGCAAACTACGGCCCGCGGGCCGCATGCGGCCCNGTAAAAGAGTATCATTCTACATGCATGATATCGGTTGATAATAAACACTACAAGACGACACGGGAGCAGAAAATGATCCAATTTATAGAATAGATAAGAAAGAATGATTTAGTTTCACGATGTTAAAGTGCGTGTAACTTATTAGTACAGCTTTAGGGGGGGGGGGGCAGTATATAAGCCCTGGTACGAAACAACTAAGTAAGACGTCTAAGTTCTACTTAAGTCTAGACTAATGTCTCAGCATGTGTGTTCATGTCAGCTGAGTATGTCGTCTGAGTCATGTCTTGCCGTATAACGATCGACTTCTTCAATGTTGCCCCCCCTCCCCATTGTTCACGCGGCAGGGAGCGGGAACGGGACCGCTGCCAGAAGTGGAAATACATGTTCGTTCGGGAACGATTCCAGTGCGGGGCCAAACCGCAGGGGAACGTGCAGCGTTGGCCCGGGGGGGGTGGGCCGCGAACGCGTGCGATGAGTCACGCACCTTCCCCGCCAGGGGGCGCTGGTTGCGTCACGGGGGGGGGGGAGTTACCGGGAGCGACAGGCTAATGGCTGGACTCACACTTCACGAAACGAAATGTAAATTGCAAATACTGGAGAAGTGGACAGTGTTTGCTTTTCTCGCACTTGGGATGGTGGAATGCTTGCCGAAGCGGAAAACGCGTGTTTGGCGGCTGTTTTGCCGTGAAGTGCGTGGGGGCGTTCACGCACGCACGCACACCCACACGCAAACATCGTGTGCACATTTAGATATGTACATGTTGCGTGTATATCTGATATTACATGTACGTAGGTATGGTATGGTATGTGTGTTTCCACGGTTACGACCCGTCATGGCGGCACGTCGCTCACTGCCGCGCGCTCTTGTGTTTTTCTTGCCACAGGCCCAGAAGGCGACCAACGTCACCTACCAGAACCACCATGTGTCTCGCCATAAGAGAGGTCAGGTGCTGGGTCAGCGCGGCGGATTCCGCGGATGCTGCCTCTGGTTCACAGGTGCGTGTGTGTTTGGGGGAGGGGGATGGGCGGGAGCAGGGTTGGGGTTGAGGGTGGGGTGGGGGCGGGTGGTGGCGGTAGAAGTGGGGCAGGGCCAGGGGTGGGGCGGTAGAAGCGGGCAGGGTGGGGGCGGGGAGAAGCGGGGGTGGGGAAGGGGTGATAAATGCATGTCAAAGAGCCAGTATATGGAACAGCAGTATTGCTCTTCAACTTATTACGACCGGGATGAGAAACGTCTGCTAATGCCACGGTCTTCTCTAGACGACCTCACGCTCCTCATCTCTCTTCTCTCCTCTCTTTCAAATCCTCACTTCCTGCCTGGCAACGGGTCGCAAAGGAAATCCACGTCTCCCGCAGCCTATTGCCGCTCCCATCTCTCCTCCTCTTCTCTTCTTCCGCCTCTCTCTCTCTACTCCTCATACCCCTCGGCCTTTATCTTCTCTCTCTCTCTCCTGTCTCTCCTCTCTGCTTCCTGTCCTCCTCTTTCGGGCCATCCAACGGCGGCGGGCTGGGGCATTGCTGCTGGTCCAAGCATCGAATTTGGGATCAGACACGATTTTTTGGCGTGGACGCTCGTCCGTCCTCCCCCTCCCACTGTTAAACTTTGTATACCGCCAAGAGATTCACCATCAATTTCCATAATATCTCTAGCCCGGCGCGATACCACGATTTTTGGGATTTGTTTCAATGGTGCGAGAATGTCGTACAAGAAACAAAATGCGACGCCGGCTGTTAAGGCACGTGCACTGGTTGAATTATTCACTGGCTCCCAGAAAAAATTCCTGTATATGGTACTTGTCTCTCTCCTCTCTCTCTCTTGCGCGCTCTCTCCTCTCTCTCTGCGTGCTCTGTCAGTACTGATCTCCATCACTCCGTCACTCGCGTCTGCTCGTCTGTCTTGTAAGCTGCGACTCCTCCCTCTCCTCTCCCCCCCCCCTCACATCTCGTAAGCGATCTATAGTCCTTAGGGTCTCTTGGCTACGTATTAGTATAAAGAGTGATACGTAATGCGCAATTTTTAAACCCAATTGTACAATTATAAATTTTAATGCAGTATTGTTTAAATATCTTAAAAAATGATGTAGATATTGTGGACAGCTTAATGTGTTGTGCTTTACCCACTATATGAAGATCACCAGCCAGGAGTGAGCGAGCAGGAAGAAAATAATTCTGAGACTATTTCAAAGTGTCAACCTCATTCAGAGACCTTATCACAAAGTCCATTCCACCAAGCTCAACGAATACAAACACGCCTACTTTTTATGGTCCTAGTGTCATCACCCCTCAAAAATACTTTCATCACCCTTGGTGAACCAGCACCACCATTTAAGAATACGTGGTACACACACAGTCAGTCCAGCTGCTCGGTAAATACACTGTGATATTTGACCATTATAGATTATCTTTATGTAGCTAATCATATATAAGCTGAAGTGCAGACAGCGTATATTTGTATCGTGCACCGTATGACACCGTTGTCCCTACCATAGAAAAGTGATAATAACTCAAGATAGTTATCTATCTATGTGCTGTGTCGCTACGCGGCGGTCCTTGCGGGGTGAATCTGTAAAAATTATTAAAAAAAATTAAATTAAAACAAAGCATTAAAAAATTTTAAAAATAAAAAAAATAATCAAAAATTAAATTGAATTTTTTAAATTCAAATTGAATTAAAAAAAATAATTTAAAAAAAATTAAAAAAAAAGTTAAATAAAAATTACAAAATTAAATAACAAACAATCTTAGACGACAAAAATTAACGTTCGCGCCGCCCGTAGGAACAACGACCCTAGAACCTAAAGAACTGGGATCTCATCTCTCCTCTGTCTCATGCTCTATCTCGTGTCCTCTCTCCTCTCTGCCTGTCTCTCTCTCTCACCCTCTGTTCCCGCCTGCCGCTCTCCGTCTCTCCCTGACCTCGCCATTGCCTCTCTCTCTCCTGTCTCTTCATCCTCTCTCTCTGTACCCTCCCCCCTCGCTTTCTCCTGCTCTCGTCTTTGCACCATCTCAACGCGGCGCTGCATTGCTGCTGGTCGAGCTTCGAATATGATGATCAGACACGAGTTTTTGAGCGGTTTGAGACTCCTCCGTTCCTCACCCGCTCCCACATATCTCTATTACGCGCGTCCGGCACAAATATCCACCCAATGACAATATTCAAACTAACCCAGTATGCGTCCACCGCGCGATAACCAACCGTTTGGATGTTCGTTTAAATGGTCATGGAACGACAAGAAATCAAAATAGCGGTAATGCATCGTGCACGTTTCTTACTCCACTGGCTCCCGGCAAAAAGTTCTGTGGTGTTAAATACTGTCTCCTTCTCTTCTCTCTCTCTGTCCTGTCTGTCTGTCAGTTCCTGTCTGTCTCGCTCTCTCTCCTGTTTAACATATCTGCTGTCTCCTCAATCTCTCTCTCTCTTCTGTCTGCCGTTGTCTGTGTTCCCTCTCTCCCCTCGTCCACTCACCTCACTGTCCTCTCTCTGCATCTTTCCCGACTCTCTCTCCTCTCTACCTTCGATCGGCCTGTCTTTCCCTCGCCTCCCACCCTCTGTCTTGGCTCTCTCTCCTCTCTCGCGTCTCACCGTCTCTCTCTCACGCACCGGACGCAGACGACAGGTACCGCTAACCAGAAACCTTTCGCCGAGCGCGAGCCGTAGGTCTGTCGAGCCTCGGGACAGACAACCCGAATAGCGTTTGCCGTCGAGGAGTACCTCGTCACGAAGGGCATCCCCGCGTACGGCCTCGATGGAGACAACGTACGACACGGCCTCAACAGCAACCTGGGCTTCTCGCCCGAGGCCAGGTGAGCAGGAGGAGGGGCGGAGGAGGGAGGAAGAGGAGAGAAAGAGAGGAGAGTAATCTCGTCACAAAGGCATCCCTGCGTACGCCTCGATGGAGACAACATACGGCACGGCCTTAACAGCAACCTGGGCTTCACACAGGTGAATCAGGGAGGAGGGGCGGAGGAGGAGGAGGAGGGAGGGAGAGGGGCGGAGGAAGAGGAGGGGGAGGTGTGGGGGGAGGAGAATCAAAGGAAAAGGAAGAAAGGGAGGGGCGGAGGAGGAGGAGTAGGAGGGGTAGCGGAGGAGAAAATGGAGCGATGGAGGAGAAGTGACAGAGGAGGACGGCAGAGGTGGAGCGGGGCAGATGAGGAGGGAGGAGGAGCACAGGGCCGCTTTACCTCTCGCCCGTTCCAACGCGGCTTCACTCTCATCCGTGTTTTCTCTCTCGTTGCCGCGGCGACCGCGCAGGGAGGAGAACATCCGGCGTGTCTCGGAGGTGGCGAAGCTGTTCGCAGATGGAGGCATCATCGCCCTGTCGGCCTTCATCAGTCCCTACGCGAAGGTGAGTCGACGGTGGCGCCATCCCGTGGTTCGCCGGCGCGGCCGCTCGGGCGTCGCAGCAGAGGGCCGATGTGTTTGCTGCATTGTAGGGCGTATTGTTTGGCATATTGTAAGGCATATAGTTTGGCATACTGTTTGCCACATTGTTTGACATATTGTTCGGCACATTGTTTTGCATATTGTTTGCCACCCTCACCCTAGTCTGATGTTATTTCTCACTCTCTCCATGTTGTGACAGGACAGAGAGAATGCGCGTAAGACGTTCCATCTTCCCTTTCCCCCGCCCCCGCCCCTCTTTCCTCCCCCGACCCACCCTCAGCCCGGTCTGATGCTAACTCTCGTGCTCTCTCCGCGTAACAGGACAGAGAGAATGCGCGTAAGACCTTACATCCACCCTCCGCCAAACTCACCCCGTACTCATGCTATCTCACTCTCTCCATGTTGCGAGTCTGACACAATATTTCTCACTCGCTCTCTCTCTCTCCGCGTAACAGGACAGAGATAATGCGCGTAAGACGTTCGACGAGGCGGGACTCACGTTCAAGGAGATCTTCGTCGACACTTCGCTCGAAGTCTGTGAACAGCGCGACGTCAAGGGCCTCTACAAGAAGGCCAGGGCCGGCGAGATCAAGGGTAGGTGGCGCCACTACGCGGCGAGCGGAGGAGGAGGGGGGCGGTCCGTCCGCGAAGTAGTGCGGAGTTGCAATCTCCAATTAACGATCGTGAAAATATCCGTTTGTACAATATTTATATTATATCTAATAATTAATGTAATTACATCATACACATAATTATAATTTATGTAAGTGTATGATTATTTCACAAGAATATTACGATCGTAAAGATCTCTCGAGCGACCGATCTCATGCTCCGGTCGATGTGCACTGTCTAACGTTGTCGTCTGCGTTGCCATGCCGACAGGTTTCACCGGTATAGACCAGGTATATGAGGCGCCTGAACAAGCAGACCTTGTGCTGAAGGCAGGAGAACGCACCGTGGAAGAGTGCGTACAGGAAGTCATAGAGATGCTACAGGATGAGGTAAGGAGGAGCCAGGGCTGTAGGGAGGGGGAGGGGGAGAAGGTAGAGGAGGGAGGGGGAGGGGAGAAGGAGCAAGGGAGAGAACGCACTGTGGAGCAGTGCATACAGGAAGTTATGGAGATGCTGCAGGATGAGGTGAGAAGGAGGAGCCAGGGTTGTAGGGAGGGAGAGGGGGAGAAGGTAGAGGTAAAGGGAGGAAGGCGGAAGATGCTGAACAGTACAGTAAGAACTAAATCCTCAAATCTCACGACAATCTGATCAATAAGATCAGGGCAAAAAGTGCCAGTAGGTGGCGCCACGCTCACTCGGGCAATGTTGTTCATTGCGCAGGGCATCGTTCCGATCAACGCAGTGGAGAAGGTCAACGAACTGTTCGTTCCCGAGTCCAAGGTCGCGAGCATTGTCAGCGAGGCGAAATCCCTGCCGGTCCTCGAGATCAACACGGTGAGTCAGCGGTCGTGCCGTGTCCCAAATCCCTGCCGGTCCTCGAGATCAACAAGGTGAATCAGCGGTCGTGCTGAACTGAAAATAATTATTTTTTTATAATAACAAAATTTAACTATTCGATATTACGGAGTTAGATATTAGAGGACCCCTAAAACCACGGGGCCCCTAAAACCGCGGGGCCCGTAGCAAATGCTAATTTTGCTACTATTGTTAATCCGGTAATGATTCTCTTTCTCCCCCCCCCCCCCGTATACAGCTGGACCTGCAGTGGCTGCAGGTGCTGGCCGAGGGCTGGGCGACGCCCCTCCAAGGCTTCATGAGAGAGCGAGAGTTCCTGCAGTGCCAGCACTTCGGATGCCTGCTCGACGGTAAGTCCTCCCGCCGCCGCGGCCGAGAGATCGACAAGAGAACGTCTGAGTGTCGCGCAAGTCGCGAGTCTTTGTTTCTCTGCCGCTGCGCTTGCGAGACCGACAAGAGAACGTCTGCGTCACGCGCGTCGCGAGTCTTTGTTTCCCTGCTGCTGCGCCGCGTCGCGTGACAAGAGAACGTCTGTCTTGCACGTCGTACGTCGTAAGTCTTCGGCCTCTCGCTGCCGCGTCGCGCGACCGACAAGAGAACGTCTGTCTTGCACGTCGTACGTCGTAAGTCTTCGGCCTCTCGCTGCCGCGCCGCGTCGCGCGACCAACAAGAGAACGTCCCCTATGTTCCCACGCGCTCTCACACGTCCCCGCCGATTTCCTATAGGTCCCTCCCCTACCCTCTACCATGCGTCGCTGCAACATAGGCTACCTTCACGTAGGGGTGGCCCGCGTTTAACATTAGACTAGGCTACCTTCCCGTAAGTACCTCCCCTACCCTCTACCCTCCACCATGCTTCGATGTATACTGACTTCACGTAGGGGTGGCCTGGGTTTAACATTAGACTACGCTACCTTGACGTAGAGACTAAGCTACCTTGACGTAGGGGTGGCCTGGGTTTAACATTAGACTACCCTACCTTCACATAGAGGCTAAGCTACCTTAACGTAGAGACTAGGCTACCTTGACGTAGGGGTGGCCCGCGTTTAACATTAGACTACGCTACCTTCACATAGAGGCTAAGCTACCTTAACGTAGAGACTAGGTTATTACACTAATAATAGCACAATACATAATACGTAGGTTTTATGATAGGTGTTAGAGGTTCTAGGATAAGTGTTAGCGGATATAGGATAGGTGTTAGGGGATCTAGGATAAGTGTTAGAGTGTGTCCAGGCTACTCACCGAGCGGATGCAGCAGCAGCACGGGGTTCTTGTATCCGCGCTCCAGCAGGCGGCGCCGCGTGTCCGTCATCAGCAAGGCGTGCCCGTTGTGCACGGGGTTACGCAGCTGGAACGCGAACACCGCGTCCGCCTGTAACCACGGCAATGCGCCGCGGGAGAGAGAGAAACACGAGGTCATCGACGCGTTGTCGAGAGCCGTGGCGCCCCCTAGCGGGAAGACGCTCGTCTTCTCGTCATGAACGCGGGATAGACGGGGCGACAACGCGCAGGTAATTAACGAGCAGAACGCTCGCTTAACGATTTTTAACGGCACTCATTATTCACTCGTTGATGAACTCGTTACTTGTGTGGATTTCATGAATTTAGTATAGTATCTCTATAATCTCTATTATCTACTCCTGAAAATATGTATGTATATACATGTATATATATATATATATGAATATATGTATGTATATATATATATATATATATGGATATATGTATGTGTATATATATATATACGTATGTATATGTAAGTATGTATATATTTATGTATATATATTGTCGTCTGCTTACGTTGATCTCGCGGAATTTCGCACGCAGTTCGTTCGGCGTGAGACGGTATTTGTCGAGGCCGTCGTTCCACTTGATTCGCTCCACGACCTCAATGTCGCCGCCCGCCAGCCAATCGCCGCTGTCCATGATCATCTGGCAAAATAATGACGGAAAACGAGAACGATTATGATCCGAGCTCACGTGATAATGGTAGGCACATGGGCACATAATCCGGGTTTTACATTAGATTAGACTATACTTTCACGTAGGGACTAAACTCCTGTCACTTTGTAAGCATCATCTTCATCATCATCATCAAAGATTCCTTAAAATATCGGCGTTAGCAATAATAAATCGTTGAGCCAAAAATATATATAAATATAAAATAATAATTAAATATATATAAAAAATATATATAACTAAATATAAATAATAATAAATTTGAAAGAAAAGATGTTAGCGATCGATTCTG